CTGCTCAGTCACAGCTTCCTAGGGGAGCCTTGCACACCTGTCTGACAGGAAAAGCTCACCCTGTGGTCTTCACTCAGAGCTTCATCTCTCCCTCCCTCAAGCTACTTAGAACAGTTGTAATTTTATAATATTTGCATGATTCTGTAATTAATGTCTCTGTTTGTCCTGTTGCATCTCACCTGCTAAAATGCAACTTCCATGAATGCAGGCGCTTTTTAAAGTCTCCCCAATTCTTAGCACATAGCAGGTCCTTGATAAATCTTTGTTGAATGATTGATTGAATATTATCCTTCCTGCCTCCCAGATTACCAAAGAGCTGTGTAACTAGTAGATGCTCAATTAACCCAGTAGGCTTGAATTGACTACAGACATAACAATAAACATGACATTTAGACTCCTCTCCCCGACCAAAAAAAAAGAAAGAAAAAAGGAAAAGGAAAAAAAAGAAAAGCTATTATGCCAAATCAACTAAGAAAACAAGTCAATACAAAAAAAAAAGCATTTTGCAAACTAAATTACAGGGTAAACATAAATTCTTACTTGCTTCCTTTTTAGAAATAGCTACAGTATAAATATATATATCTAATACAGGGTATAATTGTTACTGACAGACTATAGAGAAAGTTATTAAGTTAAAGTCTCTGAAAGGATTTAAAGAGTCAAATCCCATTGAAACATGCTTTTTTTTTTTTAACCCAAAGTTCGGATAAACCACAGGGTAGACTTGTCGAAGTCTCAGTTTCTTCATCTTTATGATGAAGGGTTGCACTAAATGATCCTTAACACCACTTGAACTCTAAGATTCTGACATTATGACAATTAACACACAACAATAAGAATCAAGAAAGTCTACCCATGCACAACGCAAAGTCCACTTCATGGACACTACTTTGTGGACACTGACAAGCCCTCCTTAGGTGAAGCCCAAGCTTGCCTCCCCTCCCTACACATCTTCTCCATCTGGAGGTGCCTCCCCTCCTTGCCTCTGCTTCTCTTTGCTCTTAGAATAACTGTCAGCAAGATTGATTTAAAACCACGTGCTCTCTTTCCCTCAGGGCCTTTGCCTTTGAATCTTCTCTCTCAATGTGGTGAAAGTTGTCTCCTGCCCCCAGGAGAAGGGATTTCAGGCATTAAGCCACTGGCAGGAGAGGTGTTTACCAAACAGGACCCTGTCTGCCAGCAAAGACAGCTTCCTTCCTCAGTCTCTGAATGAGAGCACCTCCTCCTAGGATGCAGGACAGGTGAGGTAAACTCAGAGAAGGGGCAAAGCCCCAACCCAAATATTACCTATTCAGACTTCATTCAAATGCATTTGTGTATATGTTCACAAAAATATATGCAGCTGAATTGTCTTGCAAAACTGATGCACAAAAATTCAACCTTGTAATATTAGAAACTATTCATTATTAATTAACTAGTTTTGACATTGCAAGATAAATCATTTCTTGGTCACCTGGAATAACAAAATCACCTTCTGGGTGTGCAATTTATTGAAAATATTTTACATAAAGCATTTCAAGCCTTAATATGTAAGGGCTGTCAAATCTCTGCAAAATATGCATATGACACATTGAGCAAAATGTAAAATGTGAAAGAACACACTTGTGTAAATATAATCATCAATTAATTTAAATGCTTCTTCACAATGTCTTACTGACAATGTAATTATCCATTAAACAATGAGTAATCACTTGCAATAATACAGTTTATCTAGTATACAGAGTATATAAAGTATTATTATCATGATATATAGTATTTTAACTATTTTTTAGCATTTGGAAGAAAGATTAGGTAAAACAGAATAAGTCAGAATAAAGCACAAAATTTAACTAAAAATTAAAATTTTAAGTTAATATTAAAAATTTGACAGATGGAGTAATTCTGCTAAAGACTTCAGTTTCAACTTTTAAATTCTAAACTTTTAGTATGATTATGTTTATGGAAACTTTAAAAAAATTTCTGAGTGAACTGTGTGTGCTAGAAACAGCGTTCTAAATTTGAAGATTTTAAATAGATACCTAAAATTACTCATGAAATATACAAATTTTTAAATGCAATGCAAAATAAATCTGTACTTCAAAAATATGTAGCATGTTGGTAAGCACTTAATCAAAAACTATGCCATTTCTAGCTCCTTTATGTTATCAATAGGTATACTGTCTTCTGTACAAGTGCAGCATGAGCTATATAACACACTTGATTTAACCGATTTTATTATGATTAGGCTTGTTAATTTTTTTGGAATTGATTATGCGAGAGAAGAGGGAAAGAGAGAGTATGTGTTCTGGATGAGATTTCTTTTTATGAAGAATTTAACTCAGTAAAATCTCTATTTTTTGGAAAGAAGCAAATTTATTGTTTTTATAAATGTTTAATCAAACTACATTAAGAAATAAAAAAATAATCCTGAGGCTTGAGAACTTTCCAAACCATTCCTCATTTGAGCTACAGAGTTGACAAAACCATACCAAATGATGTTCAGTTTCCTTATTTTGTAGCCATTAGTTGTTTGGAGTATAATTATGGAGTTCCTCAAAGCATACTTCCTTCTGTTGATAATCATTAAGAAAGGACATAGCATACCTAATTCAGTTCACTCAAATTTGGCAGATTGCAGAGTGAATTTCTTACCCCAACATTAGTGTTACAGTGCGCACAAGTTTAACTGTAGTTAGCAACTTTCATTCACCGCTTTTTAGCATCTTATAGTAAAGGCGTGGATAAGAAGGAGGGGGAAATAAAGCTTTGACAGATGGTACTCAGCGTTTGACTCCTGCTGAGCTCAGCAGGACCTGTGGTTTCCAAGGTTAGGGCTGTCAAAATGGCTCTGTCTATTAAGTGAATAACAAAGTGTAGACTGCCTGTTCGTTTCCTATACAAAACTTAGATTTCATGTGCCATTATTGTCGGTCTTTCTGCTGATTTAATAACTCCCAAAGAGAAGAACTGAGGATTCTGATGCAGCCTCACTGTGTGAGAAGCTACTTGGAAAGGGAATGCTCAAGAGCTGAAAGAGGTAGGCCAAGATCTGATCTCTTTCTCTTTAGTTTCTCTGCAAGGTTTCACGGCTTGAAAAGGATTCAAAAGCCACCAAAGTTTCCTTTTTGGCTAAAAGCTAAATGTGAATCTTTCAAAATGAACTGATGATGTGTCTCTCTGAAAAGGGTAAAATATTTTTATCAAGAATCCTTGGGGTGGTAGGTACTTGTTCAGCTGGAAATATTGAGAATGAAAAGGAAAGTGTTTCTGTTAGGAAATACGTTGCTGTGTTAAGGTGTATTTCAGGGCCCATTTCTCACCTTTCATAGCTCTTAATATTAAAACCACCCCCCTTTTCCCCCCAACTATGTCTAGAGCCTTCAGATGGTCAGAGAAAGTATCTAATGCTGAAAGACAGAGAGCTGAATAATGTCATCAAAATCTGCCTTTTGTCTCGTGCTGCTACAGCTATTTTTCCCGGTAAGTCATGTTTTTCTTTATGTGTATTTTGTGATCTAAAGATTGTTATTGACCTCCTGAGATTCTAATTAAAGGCCTGTTGGTGGATTCACAAACCCAGACTTCTTATTAAGATGATGCTGAAATGAGGATTGTGGTAGTACCACTGCATATGCTAATAATTGTTTTTCAATGTTTAATTTGTAATACGATATTTAAAGCAAAACTTCAGATTGTTATTTCAAAAGGACAAGGTAAAATTAAAATGTGGCCTTTTGAAAGTGACAGAGTTGGGCACACTTTAATCCTCTCCTGTTACTAAGAATTTTCATTGCTATTTTTGATAAGCTGGCAAAAGAAGTACATTATCTTGTCTCTTTTTTGACACTGGCTTAAGCAGACACATTCACCCGTGTGGTGACTGTTCCCTACTAGTGTGTCTAAAAGAAGAGTTTCTTGCTACAATATAGTTGAAGAATTTTCCTCAACAAATATTTAGTTTATATAAATCCCACGATCAAAATGAAAATGTTATTTGAAAGGATGACTATTTATTATTATTTTTAGTATATTTACTTTGAACACTTAATTAAAATGTTTTAAAGTGGCTATCTTCTTTTAAAACTTTTTTTTAACTCCAACCCAGCAGTCCCCTCTCTGAGACACTACATAGCAGATCTTCAACAAATGTTACTGAATTGAATTTAAAAGGATATTAAATATTGAATAAAAGGAATTCTTGAATTGAAATAAAAGAGATACAACTTTTGCTTCCAATTGTTATAAGAGATTATCAAATGCCCATTTAGCATAAATCCTTTTCCAGTTGTGCTTGCTTTTTTATTTTGGAAATGTATAATGCCTTTAATCATCTCTGTAGACAATAATGATAAACAAAAATTTGGAAAAAAATTCTAAACCAAGATGAAATTTTCTTCTCTCTTTCCTCTCTCTACCTCTTTGCTTACCTTGTTCAATAAGGCAGTTTCTAAGCTTCTCTCTAACAACCTAGACCATCCCCCAAAGGAGTTTTTGTTAATGGTAAACTTGCTGAATCAAATTTGCTTTTCATGTGTTTGCAGTTTTTGAAGAGTCTCTGTGGGGTTTCTTCATGTGTCTGTGGGGAAAGTGTGCTTCTGTAATTTCATCCGTGTCCATAAACTATAAGTCCCTGGAAATTAAGTCCTTCCGTGGCAGGAAGTCAGCAATCCTAGAGGAAGGAAATGGAACTAAAACAGATATGATATTCAAGAACTGCTATCACGTACTTAGCCACACCAAAACCTTTTTGATTCTAATCCACAGAACTGGCCCAGAACTCTGGGACCAAGAAGTCAAAATGTACAGGTTAACTAATATAACTAATATGCTCTAACTGCACCACACTCTTCAGTTTTATTTAATCTTTAAAAGCTTTAAGTTGTGGTAAAATATACATAACAAAATCTACCATCTTAACCACTTTAAAATATGCAGTTAATAGTGTTGTGTATTCACATCATTGTGCAACCAACCTCCAGAACTCTTTTTATCTTGCAAAACTGAAACTCTGTATCCATTAGAAAATTCCCCATTATTCTAGCCCCTACCAATCACCATTCTACTCTCTGTCTCCATGAATTTGACTACTCTAATTAATTCATCTGAGTGGAATCATACAGTATTTGTCTTTTTGTAACTGGTTTATTCCCCTTAAAATAATGTCCTCAAGGTTTATCCATGTTGTAGCATGTGTCAGAATTTCCTCCCTTTTTAAAGCTAAATAGTATTCCAGTGTGTGTATATATCACAGTTTATTTATCCATTCATCCATAAATAGACATTTGGGTTGCTTCCACCTTTTGACTATTTTTAATAATGCTGCTATGAACATGGGAATACAAGCTTCAGTTGTTTTAGAATGTGATTACTGCAAGCTATAGAGTAAATAAAGACCACAGCGCACATGGTATGAAGAATGGCAGAGGATTACAATAATAAAACCATAGCCAATGTTTATTAAGTGCTTACTATGTGCCAGGGACTGCACCATGCACATTACTGGTATTAACTCTATGAGAGATCTGATTCTCATTCTACTATATTCAAATTGTTCCTTGTAACCCTCTAACAAAACTAAAAAGTAAGAATATGACACAGTACTAACAGGAATGTGTGAGGTAAAATGAGCTTTCTCTTTCAGAGGATCCCTAAATGTGCCTACCTAACAAAAGTAAAGTGGAGGATTGTGAACAGTGATCATTTAATATATATTCACATAATTAGGGTCATATAATCCCCAAGACCCTACCACTGAGGGGAATGTGAGGAGTGAGTCTAAATGAATCTACGTTTTCCTCTTCATAGTCAAAACTTACCACTTCATGGTGTCTCTAGAAACAAAGACTGTACATAAGTACCCTTATCATTATAAATAGTTTTATTAGCTCTTCTGGTTCTATGGTTATGAGTTTAGGTTATAGATCTTTCTGTGTTCATTTCCAAAGCATAACCCTAACTCTTGTAGTGACTAAATTGTATCCAAGGAAACAAAGAAAAAATTTTTTCAGTTTTTAAAAAATTCTAAGGTCCTGGAGACAAGCATTTGAATATCACTGACCTAACGTATAAGTAAGTGCATGTTTGACAACCCATAAAGACACCCTACCAGAAAAGGCTTTGCAAATCAAGCTCAGGAGAAGCCTTGAGGTGTAGTATTGTTTGAATTCTATGCAAATCAAGTGACAAGTCCTTATTTGACCAAAATCTAGGTATTTCAAATAGAATTCAGATAAGCGATTGATCAGGTCTGCATTTTTTTTTTCAGTGATAGCTACAGATAAAGTTCAATATTAACTTAAAAGAATTTTTTCACTTACTTTCAGCCAGCATTTTCAGCAGATGAAATTTTTACAAGTTTTATTTTGTTTTAAGCCAAATTATTACAATGGAAGCATCTTCTATATCCCAATTCAAGAATTTGCTATCCTACTGATAGTAACTATATTCAACCTTCAGCCTGGTTTAGGGAATTCTGTGGTATATCTTTCATCTGTGGTTTCAGAAGATGTGAATTCTGCAAACCAGACAGAAGAGGGAGCTATCCATCTGGAAATTAACCGAGCCTTTCAAAAATATGTCAAATAAATACAGAAGGAAATTCTAATATGATCAAGTCTTATCTTATTTGGTCTTGTATTTTATAGCAACACTATAAATTTTCTGGTGCATTAAAAACAAGAAAGAAAACTACTAGTAAAGGCAAAAACAATGAGCTAAATTAATGAAAAGGCAAAACATACAAACCATTAAAAGGTCAATTAAAAATACATTCACATTTTATGGTTTGATCTCATAAATTTCATACTAAAACACAGAACTAGAACGTACCGCCAAAAGGCCAAAGTAATATTCCACTTCCATATACATCACTAATATTACTTTCCTATAGATCCTGATCATAAAATGAAACTCTGACTTTAAAACTGGTAACATCTGGAAATAATGGCAAAATAGAAAAGCTGTTGGGCTCATCTGTCTTGAAAATGCTATGTAATAAGATTTACTTAATATATTTGAAAGAGAAAAAAATGTTTTGTTCCCCAATTTGTTGCAACATCTGAAAGTTCATGAGGTTATGACCCCTCTTTAAGAAAGCATCTCCCACCACCTGCAAAAACCTCAGGAAAAGCAGTTGGAAACAATAAAACACGTGCTAGTTAACTGTTACCAGGGAAACGGTTCTGGTTCACCAATCCGAGCGCCTGCGCTTCCCAGTGGCTTTGTTTGAGGGAGACATGCGCCAGCTGTTAGTGAATAACCATTGTTGTAGATCATCAGGAAATCACAGTCAGCAGGCAACCCAGCCCCACTGGAAGTTTATTTCTCATATTTGTTCATCACCAGGGCAATCCTCCACCTTTAAAACATCCCCTTAGGCTAAGTTAACTAAATAACGCCCTGCACCAACAGGATCGCTTAAAGGAGGCAAGTTGCAGAATGGTCTTTTTGAGCAGCAAACAGATTTCTAACTTTGATTCTAATTGCATTGCCCTGCTGCCCTCTTTACTTTTCAGCAGCAGTTACAGGGCAAGTATCTAAAGTCAGTGCCCCTTTGGGTGCTGTCCTTCCTTGCCTTGATTGGCCAGTCAGAAACACACAACAAACACCCCCATCACCACCACTAAGAGTTTTCAGAAATTATTGCCTTACCCCAGCCTGGAGAGAGCAGTATGACTGGCAAATAAGAGATTCTGCAGGGGAAGTTTGGGGCTGCTATCAGGGGAGGTTCTGTGAGGATAAAGCTCTGGGTCCCTTTCTCCCCAACACACACACACTTAAAATCAGAATGGCCCCCACTTTACCAATTTTATATTTTTTAATAAACTTATAAATCCATAGATTTTCTTTGAAACAAGATGGCATTGCTTTTTTCAAAGTTTAAAAGCCAATGAGCTCCAAACCCATACAATCATCATACTTATCCAGAAAAGTGGAGATTTCCAGACTTCTGATTTCCCACTTGGCTTATAAGTAGCACAGTAGTCACCACTCCATCCTAACGATAAGTCAAAATTTTGAATAAACTGAAAAATCCAGAATTTTTCTTAGATTCCTTAGAGAACTGAGTTCATAGGACAGCCCACTGCCCCAAAATTGGAGAGGCAAGTGAATACAGAGAATCACAACTTACTGCAGCAGAAACCCCACAGGAACCAGTGCCTGTTTGGGAAAACCTAACCTGTAATTGATGAATTGCTGAAGGCTCAGTGTGGACAAGTCTGAGAGTTAAAATATCCAGGAGAACTCAGTCATAGAAGGGCCCTCACACTTTTGTGAGTTTCACCTCCAGGAGCTTGACCTAACAGGTCTTAACAGTGTATACTGGAGAAAATCTTGTGATTCCACCAGGACCAGAGAAAAAGAAACCATCTTGAAATATACCAGAGCATTCCATTCTTCTTAAGCAGGCCTGCTCTCAGGTAAAACTATTTTACCAGAGTCCAACTGACCTGGGGGAAGGGAAATGCCCAACTCTAGCT